ACTCTAGCCTCGCTGTCATCTGTGTTTGGGGATGTGAAATGGCATGCAGTTTAGATGACAAAAAATAAACATCTTTTTTTTTAGATGGTTTGTCTTGCTGATTTAATTGAGCTGACTTTTTGTTGTATTTTTGTTTTGTCTCTGTGTGGTTGGTTGCTTGACAGCAGTGCTTCATTCAGTGCTGTTGCGCTAAGGTCTGTGTCAGTTGTATTGCTTGTGGAGATTCTTTTACACATGTGCTATACATGTAGCACTGTGTGTCGTGTTTAGTGGAAGAGCATGTTCATGATTTTGTGAATTCTGTCTGTGTGTAGAACCCTACAGCAAAACGACTGGCACATTAATTAATTAAGGCCCCGATTAATTTATCATGTGGAAGATATTCTTACCCATGATATGCGTAGAGAATCTAGTCATCACAGTCATAAAGTAAGTTATGTTATGGGAAATTTTACATATACGGCAGGAGTGCAGTGGCTGGCCACGCCTGGCCAGCAGTTTTTGGTGTGAATTTTAAAGTTTGAACTCTTGTGGTGTGGGTGTGTGTGTGTGTGGGGGGGGGGGGGTACTTTTCAGTTTAAAATATAATCATTCGGAAAAGGTGTTTTTTTAATGTATAAATTACTCGTAGTTATAAAATAGACCCGCCACTACCAGACTTGAGTCAGTAGCACACTTATAGAAGAAATACCCTCTCTTTTCTGCTGCGAGTTTTTGTACTCAGAGACACAGCTGAGATTGAGATGTGCTCCCAGATTTTCTAGTCGCTCTGCTTATCGGTTGTCTGCCCTGGGGTTAGAAGACGTGATTGTTTTATTGGGGTTTTTTCCCAATGGCACAAGGATTGATGTACAGAAAATTGGGAGAAATGGAATACATTTAATATCAGGAGGCAAGCCCAGAATAAGGAAAGATAAGGAGACATGGAAAGTTTTTGTTGATGGTCTATACCCTGATGCTGGGTGAGAAAGGAAGTGATGATGGTGATAAAGATCTGTTGCCATGAATCTTTGAAACAGGTTCAGCCTACTCTGTTCATTGGTTGCGTTGAGAAAGAGAAATGGTGGTTCTCATTGAGCCAAAATACGTGCATATTTGTTACGGATACATGTACATGGAAAGGTTTGCCCCAACACGTTTCGTCTCACTCCTCTGTGATTGTAAATTTGTAAGTTATTAAGTGTTTATGAGGCCATCGGCCCACATCACATAAAACACTCATCTATTAAATACAGTTTCCTTTAATTGAAATAGTACAGGTTATACATACCTTTTCTCATGGGTCAAACATTGGATATTTCTGTCACTTGACTGAGTCAGGCTGGGTGGATTAACAATTTCTGTAGATGGGCTAGATTTGAACATTTAAAAAATAATGTGAAATTCATCTTCAATTTCATGAGTTACACCTCTCCACTCAGTGACTGAGAGGCATCGATGACCTAGTGGTTAGAATACTGGACCCGTGAGATTGCGGGTTTGGGGGTTCGAGCCTCAGCTTGTCCGACATTGTGTCCTTGGGAAAGGCATCTTACGAATTTCGCATTTGGCTCGATCCTATCGGAGACGGATGTTAATTAAACTGGGAGGTCCAGTCTCTTAAATAACCTAATAGCGTTGGTAGGGGTGTTAAACCAAAACCGTTTTACTCTTTTGATGATTAAGATCTGGGCTGTACACCAAAGTGCCAGAAGTTACTAACGGGTGTGCCCCGTTACTTCAGTGGCTGAAGGACACATGCCTTCTGTAGTTTTAGAAGATCAAGGTTTCTCATTCAGGTCAGGAAGTGATATCCCGAGTACCCAGCCATCGTTTTGAATCGGCTGCGTGCAGCCTAGTGTTGTTTGATTACTGTAACAGTTACATAGTCAGGCCCATAGTGACATTATCATGTAAATAAAATAAGGGAGAAGGGGAGGGTGCATAGTATATTCATCATGTGGAATGATTTTATTTGAAAATGAAATATTTGTGTCTTTTGAACTGGAAAATGGGATATTCAAGTCTTTCTTGTGGAAAATGGGATATCCGAGTCTTCAAAGTGACAGCCAAGGCCAAGCTGCTCTTTACATATTGATCAGTCTGAACACGTGGAGCCACTTTTGAGTATGTCACTTGGTACCAAGGAGAAGTACAAGTATAGTACAGTCGACTTTGAATGTGATGAACTCGCCTGAGTTGATCCTGATCTCTTTCTCGGGTCCCAGCAACCCTTTTTCTGGACAGGTCCCAATGGTTAAGTTGAATTTCGGATGAGTTGATCTTTTTTTCACTCCCCCGACAGCATCAACTAATCCGTAGTCGAATGTATGACCCTTTGCGCCTTGACAGATGATCTCAAAGCAGAATGCGTGATAGATTTTCCTGGGCTGTAAACATAAGAAAGTAGATTGCGCAAGTACCACTTCGCTGCATTCAGATCTCGATTTCTTTGATGTGCTCCGCAGGAGAAAAATTATCATTACGTTTGGATTCAAGAAAGGTGAAAGTGTGTGTTATACAACACGTGAAAAGGACTAAAATTTGAGATTTTTATTTCGTATTTTGAATATACCCCAATGGGCACGTCAAATAAAAGGGAGGAGGGGAGGGGTAGATGGTTTCCCACAATCATGTATTGTCTCCCACCTACACCATCTGCCCCATCTGGCAGAAGATCAACCTATTTGTGTTGCAAGTGCCGTAAAACTCTTACTGAAGCTTAAACTTAAAGAGGGTCGGACAGCTCCCTTGTGTATGCAGCGAACGTCAAGTCGGAGTCTCTTTGTGTGAGCCAACTTCTGAGTACCTGTACTCTCTGTGCGGTGATAGATGACGTCGCTGGGCTGAGGGAAGGTTGTCTCAAAGGCATTTTATGGAGTACCTCTGTCTTTGTGCTCTCATTTTGGCAGTGCCCTCGGTAGCATAGTGGTTAGGCTACCTGACCTGGAATCTTAAGATCATGGGTTCTGGGGTTTGAGCCTCAGCTTGGTCTGACATTGTGTCCTTGGGAAAAGCGCTTTACACAAATCTCCCATTGGCTTGATCTTTTCGGAGATGGATATCAAACTCAGAGGTCCCGCAAAGTAGTGTTGACAGGAGCATTAAATTTATACCATTTCTTTCTGCTTACATTTGGCAGTATCCTGTAAACTGTCCCTGCGGTTTTATGCAGAAAGAATTCTGAAATTATGCAAACTGAGCCCAAAAAATGAAATTATGCGATTCTGTTAATTTTAACAAAGAATGATACAGGAAAATGATCGGAAATTATGCCCCCAAAAATTGTCAAATTTTGCTAAATTATGTGTGGTGCATAACACCCCCGGGACAGTGTAAAACCCCTGTCCTCACTGAGGGATAAGCAAGGTTCAAACTGGCTACCTATTCATTAACTGATGTTCATTAGGTCGATGGGGATAAAAAACATTCTGCAGTGGATGATGATTGGCACTGCGGATGTGTTACAATATTCTTCCAGATGGCGAGAGAGGAATTAATGATTAATGGTCATTATTGTCGGGTGTATGTCAACATCCTCATGTGCACGCACACGCACACATAATGCACTCGTGCACACATACACGCACGCACGCACACACACACACACACACACACACACA